AAGCAAATTTGTAGAATTTATATCCCCCCCACCCCCCACCTCCTTACTTTCATTAGTTTATATCTAAGGCTTGAAGGATAGTAAGATACCTACATCTTCAAACCAAATTTGATCAAAATTCATTGACATTTAGCAATGTTATCACACCAAAATCAAATAGCCAATCAGAAATGAAGTACATAATCAAAAATGCATAAAATCAAAGAGTAACACTGGTTGTTTAACTCAGACTGAAGAATAGTAAAAATGCACCTTCAAACCAAATTCGTATTTAGCAAGGTATTGCCCAGAAATCAACTGGCCATTCAGAAATTTAATACCTACTTAATCAGGTATAAACATCAATGAATGAATTTGGTATAGTTGAGCTAAGATTGCAGGAGAGTAAGATAAACAATATTTTCATCAAAAATCCATTCAAATTCAGCATTATTATTGCAGTGAGACTAAAAGCTGGATGGACAGACAGAAGGACAGACAGACAGACAGACAGACAGAAAGACAGACAGATGAATGGACATACACATGTGAACACATCTAAATTAGTATCCGTCTTTTTTTCTTCAAAAAGTCAGGGATATTGATTGTAGCTGACAGTAATCCAACTTACAGGGTAGAATGCATTTCAAAATTACTCTGATATTTAATTCAATAATGAAATTATTACAGTCTTGTGTCATCTGCTGATGAAAACCTTTATATTGTCATATTTAAACAAAAAATTAGACACTAGACAAATTCTCATCCATACATACATGTATACAAGCTGGCTGTCCCTTCAAAATCTGAGGTCAGTTCTTTTTACCTATAATTTACAGATGTAATTACCGGCACATGTTGGAGGATACTATTTTTTGTGAAGTATAGAAAGATATTCATACTTTTTACTCTTTTAATTTGGGAAAATAAAACATAAACTACTTAATAGAAAAGAGTTTAATTTTGCCTATGAAACACATTAAGTGTACATGGATCTATATCTGTTCCAGCAACTTGTTTTTCCTGTCAAATTGTGATATATTAATTAGGACATAAATCTAGATACTTAGCTTGTCAACAATCAGTGGTCAGTCTGTCACCAGTTTTGTAGTCAGATCTGTGACCAAAGGCTAAATATGACAGTCAAATATCATTCTGCCCTCCAGGTCTGCAAGATCAATACCATACTAGATTCCATACAGAAAAAAAGGTTCTATAGGTAATGTGCAGCTAGGACTTCAGTGGAGCAAGTGTTCACAACCTTATTTGCTGATTTCAAAATTTGGATTTGGAAAAATATCTGAAATTTCACTTTTTCTCTCTCTAAAATTATACATGTAAAATGTTTTAGGATTTTAAAAGTGTGGTTAATTTGCTGGGTGTATTGCCCCCATACACTGTCAGGGTAATTCTGAGGTCGGGTCTCTTTGAAGTGGCTAGTGACTGCCTCACTGAACAATATACAGGTGGCCATCATATGTCTTAAAAGGTAATTTGAGGTTCAGTGTCTCAATATGATTGTCCAAGTGGACAGGTGGCCCATCATATGTCTTAAAAGGTAATTTGAGGTTAAGTGTCTCAATATGATTGTCCAAGTGGACAATGGCCGATCATATGTCTTAAAAGGTAATTTGAGGTTAAGTGTCTCAATATGATTGTCCAAGTGGACAGGTGGCCCATCATATGTCTTAAAAGGTAATTTGAGGTTCAGTGTCTCAATATGATTGTCCAAGTGGACAGTGGCCTGTACTTGTCTTAAAAGGTAATTTGAGGTTCAGTGTCTCAATATGATAGTCCAAGTGGACAGTGGCCGATCATATGTCTTAAAAGGTAATTTGAGGTTCAGTGTCTCAATATGATTGTCCAAGTGGACAGTGGCCTGTCATTGTCTTAAAAGGTAATTTGAGGTTCAGTGTCTCAATATGATTGTCCAAGTGGACAGGTGGCCCATCATATGTCTTAAAAGGTAATTTGAGGTTAAGTGTCTCAATATGATTGTCCAAGTGGACAATGGCCGATCATATGTCTTAAAAGGTAATTTGAGGTTAAGTGTCTCAATATGATTGTCCAAGTGGACAGGTGGCCCATCATATGTCTTAAAAGGTAATTTGAGGTTCAGTGTCTCAATATGATTGTCCAAGTGGACAGTGGCCTGTACTTGTCTTAAAAGGTAATTTGAGGTTCAGTGTCTCAATATGATAGTCCAAGTGGACAGTGGCCGATCATATGTCTTAAAAGGTAATTTGAGGTTCAGTGTCTCAATATGATTGTCCAAGTGGACAGTGGCCTGTCATTGTCTTAAAAGGTAATTTGAGGTTCAGTGTCTCAATATGATTGTCCAAGTAGACAGTGGCCTGTCATTGTCTTAAAAGGTAATTTGAGGTTAATTGTCTCAATATGATTGTCCAAGTGGACAGTGGCCTGTCATTGTCTTAAAAGGTAATTTGAGGTTCAGTGTCTCAATATGATTGTCCAAGTGGACAGTGGCCTGTACTTGTCTTAAAAGGTAATTTGAGGTTAAGTGTCTCAATATGATTGTCCAAGTGGACAGTGGCCTGTCATTGTCTTAAAAGGTAATTTGAGGTTAAGTGTCTCAATATGATTGTCCAAGTGGACAGTGGCCTGTCATTGTCTTAAAAGGTAATTTGAGGTTAAGTGTCTCAATATGATTGTCCAAGTCGACAGTGGCCTGTCATTGTCTTAAAAGGTAATTTGAGGTTAAGTGTCTCAATATGATTGTCCAAGTGGACAGTGGCCTGTCATTGTCTTAAAAGGTAATTTGAGGTAAAGTGTCTCAATATGATTGTCCAAGTGGACAGGTGGCCCATCATATGTCTTAAAAGGTAATTTGAGGTTCAGTGTCTCAATATGATTGTCCAAGTGGACAGTGGCCAATGATATGTCTTAAAAGGTAATTTGAGGTTAAGTGTCTCAATATGATTGTCCAAGTGGACAGTGGCCTGTCATTGTCTTAAAAGGTAATTTGAGGTAAAGTGTCTCAATATAATTGTCCAAGTGGACAGTGGCCTGTCATTGTCTTAAAAGGTAATTTGAGGTTAAGTGTCTCAATATGATTGTCCAAGTAGACAGTGGCCTGTCATTGTCTTAAAAGGTAATTTGAGGTTAAGTGTCTCAATATGATTGTCCAAGTGGACAGTGGCCTGTCATTGTCTTAAAAGGTAATTTGAGGTTAAGTGTCTCAATATGATTGTCCAAGTGGACAATGGCCGATCATATGTCTTAAAAGGTAATTTGAGGTTAAGTGTCTCAATATGATTGTCCAAGTGGACAGGTGGCCCATCATATGTCTTAAAAGGTAATTTGAGGTTCAGTGTCTCAATATGATTGTCCAAGTGGACAGTGGCCTGTACTTGTCTTAAAAGGTAATTTGAGGTTCAGTGTCTCAATATGATAGTCCAAGTGGACAGTGGCCGATCATATGTCTTAAAAGGTAATTTGAGGTTAAGTGTCTCAATATGATTGTCCAAGTGGACAGTGGCCTGTACTTGTCTTAAAAGGTAATTTGAGGTTCAGTGTCTCAATATGATTGTCCAAGTGGACAGTGGCCGATCATATGTCTTAAAAGGTAATTTGAGGTTAAGTGTCTCAATATGATTGTCCAAGTGGACAGTGGCCTGTCATTGTCTTAAAAGGTAATTTGAGGTTAAGTGTCTCAATATGATTGTCCAAGTGGACAGTGGCCTGTCATTGTCTTAAAAGGTAATTTGAGGTTAAGTGTCTCAATATGATTGTCCAAGTAGACAGTGGCCTGTCATTGTCTTAAAAGGTAATTTGAGGTTCAGTGTCTCAATATGATTGTCCAAGTGGACAGTGGCCCATCATATGTCTTAAAAGGTAATTTGAGGTTCAGTGTCTCAATATGATTGTCCAAGTGGACAGTGGCCAATCATATGTCTTAAAAGGTAATTTGAGGTTAAGTGTCTCAATATGATTGTCCAAGTGGACAGTGGCCTGTCATTGTCTTAAAAGGTAATTTGAGGTTAAGTGTCTCAATATGATTGTCCAAGTAGACAGTGGCCTGTCATTGTCTTAAAAGGTAATTTGAGGTTCAGTGTCTCAATATGATAGTCCAAGTGGACAGATGGCCCATCATATGTCTTTTAAGGTAATTTGAGGTTAAGTGTCTCAATATACTGTACTAAATGGTCTGAATGTCTAATTATTAAGAAACAAATGTAGAGCACTCTTTAAATCTCCTGCTGAGGTATCCAACGCTGTACTGACTGACTCAGCTATTGTGGTCAAGCAGAGAAAGGATATAGAGAGTACTATAAAAGTATTAATTTTCCTGAGGGATTTATTCTAGTTGATTCACTGTCTACAAATGGTTACAGTTACTTTCAGTAGCTTTATTGAGCACACTTTATCCCCTGAAATCAAATGTCTTCAAAAAAGCAATTAACAATAAAAGCAAAGCCACAATTGGCCGGGTTGTGGTATGAGTGCAATGTTATATAGTATTTATAAGACAGTTAAAGGTTTTTCATTTGTTGAGTATGTTGAATATTTGTTATAAGAAAGAAAGTTTGGTGGTATTTTATGAATTGGTGCAGAAGATGGGCAGTTGAAGAAAGAAGTTGCAGCCATTTTTGATTTGGTGATGTTCAAAAACATAGACAATGGACATCTAGGGCCCCAAGGTGATTCAAATGTGGAGTTTCAGAAAGATTCTTTAAGTAGTTTCTAAGAAACTGTGATAATTAGAAAAGTTTCAGAAAATGACTAAGTTCCACAGCCCAGAAAATCCAGAAAATGTCCAGAATGAATCCATAATAGGAGGTGCAGATCTTCAACATATATATAAACATCCTACAAAGTTTCAATCTTCTACATCAAAAACTCTAGGAGGAGTTGATTCTACAAAACTGGTACCCCTTTTCCCCGCCCACCTGCCCGTCCGCCTGCCATTTACCATACTATAACCTGGATTGGCACTATGTTCAACCCAGTCAAAAATTTTTTATCCCAATAAAATTATCTCATGAATTGTTTAGACTTACAGGCCATTCCTGACCATAAACAAAGATGTGACTTCTGGCAATGTCCACTCTGTCCCACGTTAAGGCTAGACTCAGTTGGTCAGGTGCGCTAGCATTTGTTCCTACAACAAAAATACAAACATTCAAACAAGAACATTTCTGGTACAACACAGATGAAAGAAATCTTTCTAGTGTAAAATAGGTGGAAATAAAATCAAGAGATTACAAAGGAAACTTTGCACCCACTACTGATCTTTATTTGTTCTTCAAAGGTTGGATATTTTATCTTCTTTTCCTCCTTCTGTCTTTCCTCTTAATTGTGTAAAATGTGAAAATTCCTCTGAAGAAACAACAATAACACTTTTTTCACTTTTTATTTCAAGATGGCCACATGTCACCCATCTTGTTTTTCTGATCAGTCCTAAAATAAAAAGGTCACAACTAGGGACTAAGGGGAAGCTACCTATGAGATCAGAGATAGATTCATCCATTCCTTTTCAAAAAAAATTGAAAACAAAAATTGTGCAATGACGATGGACCACGGGTATAAGGCAATTCAAACTGCCCACCATGTGTAGGTTGTGGGCTAAAAAACAAAGTAAATAATTTTAACTCGATTAAGTGTCACAGACAATTACAAAATATCTTGATATATAACTGAAATATTTGGCAAATTAAAAGAACAAGATGTGTTATTGGAACATGAATGACCTTGACAATAACTGATAAGTACATACATCTGTATCAAGTTTTTAAGTATAACTGGGTTTTTAAGAGGTGGACTAATTACTTTCGAAATTTGTTAGGTAATGTATGTTTGTGGCAAACAGGTTAAGTTGATCAATAGCTAACCAGGTGCAAAAAATTCAAACAAAAATCAAATCTCAGTTCAATAGCCCCATCCAGCACTGAGTAAAATGAGGAAGAACTGTTCATAGATGTTTTATATGAAAGGGCCATAACTCTTGAAAAACTGACCAAAACCAAATAAGAAATTGAACTGCATCTTTTCCTTATAGAACAAAATATTAGAATTCAGTTAAATATCATCATACAAAACAAGGAGTGAATGAGTGAAAACAGAAAACATCTTATTCAGACTTTCAAATATAAGTAAATTAATATAACTTATTAGTTACATACTCTTTCACTTTGTACATCTATATACTGAAAAGGTTTTTAAATCCTTCAACAAAGCTTCCTGACTAGAGAACTCACCTTTAAGTAGTGCAGTGAGAATGGCGAGGTCTATATCCTGTGCTCCCTCTCCCATACGAAACACAGTTATCTGCAACGCAGAAAACAAGAGTCCTCATCACTGGAACCTAGGCGTTATTTATATCATCAGCAAATCTATTTCTATCACCAAGGAATCTAAGCCCCTTTTTCTATTAGTGGAATATAAATGAAACTGGAACGTCTAGAACATCTTAGCACCTCCATCACTTAACAATCAATGTGTCCATTCATCCATTTTCAAATTCACTTTATTGCAGACAGCAAGATTCTATGGCTTATTTCACTGCTTAATATCAACTAATTCTTGACCTTTCTCGACTGTCAAACATCCTACATAATATTGTTTCTTTACATTATCTCTCATAAAGATTCAGATCACATCTTGGCAGAGAGGAGACTACATCAGGTATATCAAAGTACTGCAATTTATTTCTTTGCAGTCTCTTTTCGTAAGTTTTCTAATAGAGGACAAAGGCAAAATAACTAAATTCTTTTACAATTGTTAAAAGGAATATGGACATAATATCATGTAGTCAGTACAACATTTCCAGTAGTATTATTGATAAATATATATAAATATATATTACATTTTCATCAAAGAAAAAATGTGAGATTCACGGAGCATTCTAAAATACCTTTTTGCAATCACTAAGCACCTATTTCATAATCTAAATACAGACTACTTTTTTAATGAACTTTAATAAAACTATAAGGAACATGAAAACTTCCACACTTCCATGTTTAAGGTGCAAACCTGATTCGTTTCTACTCAGTAGTAATTCTGCATATAACGATTGGAAACTTTGATCTTGTCACCTGAATTCTATCTAAGGTGTTCTTATATGTGACATTGTCAGCTGGATTCTATCTAAGGTGTTCTTATATGTGACATTGTCATCTGGATTCTATCTAAGGTGTTCTTATATTTGACCTTGTCATCTGGATTCTATAAGAGGTGTTCTTATATGTGACCTTGTCAGCTGGATTCTATAAGAGGTGTTCTTATATGTGACCTTGTCAGCTGGATTCTATCTAAGGTGTTCTTATATGTGACGTTGTCAGCTGGATTCTATCTAAGGTGTTCTTATATATGACCTTGTCAGAAAAGTCACATCTGAGGTCCCTAAGGCAGCTGTATCATCATTTCAGTGAGAGAACAGCCTACTTGGAGTAATAACATTAGTTATCTAAGTCAAGGGGAGGAAATGAAAATGATCCAAGAATTATGAGTTTCATACCTACACTTATAAGCATTACAGCAACAATGGTATTAGTTTAAAACTCCTGTATCATTCTAACTGAAGTGTCATCATACAATGACAAAATACATCATTTATCCTAAATTTACAACTCTCTTTTGTTATAGAGTGCAATACAAGTCTAATATTTATGAAGTATCACTTCTGCCTTGGACACTTGACATTGAAACTTGGGTCAAGGATACTCACTTCTGCCTTGGACACTTATCACTTGTCACTCAATTCTGCCTTGGACACTCATCACTCACTTCTATCTCAGACACTTATCACTCAACATTCTTTTCTGTCTCAGACATTCATGTCTCACACTCACTTCTTAAACATTTATCAGCCAACATGTACTTCTGACTTGGACTTTCATGGTTCACGTCTGTCTGAGATTCATCACTCCACACTCACTTCTGCCTCAGACACTAATGTCCCATACTCACTTCTGTCTCAGACACTAATGTCCCACACTCACTTCTGTCTCAGACACTAATGTCCCATACTCACTTCTGTCTCAAATACTAATGTCCCATACTCATTTCTGTCTCAAACATCAATGTCTTCTGCCTGGGACACTAATGTCTCACACTTGCTTCTGTCTCAGACACTCATCATTCAACTCTCACTTCTGTCTCAAACATCAATGTTTTCTGCCTGGGACACTAATGTCTCACACTCACTTCTGTCTCAAACATTGATGTCTTCTGCTTGTGACACTAATGTCTTACACTCACTTCTGTCTCAGACACTCATCACTCACTTCTGTCTCAAACATCAATGTCTTCTGCCTGGGACACTAATGTCTCACACTCACTTCTGTCTCAAACATTGATGTCTTCTGCCTGTGACACTAATGTCGCACACTGACTTCTGTCTCAGACACTTAAAGACAACTGTAGTGACTTCAATAGAAAAGACCAATGTGATGTATTCAACAGAAAGCAACAACAGATTCACCATTGACACTTACCAGCTCCTTTTTCTTTATACAAAGCATCAGCTCAATGAAAAGCTTCTCGGCTTGTTCCTGGGAATACTGGAATGTCTTCTGAATGGTTAGAATGAGCTGGTCTCGTAAACTCTCTGGCATTGTGCTGTAATGATATAAAACACAAGATTTTATTCCTCTAAAACATTAAAGCTTCAGTTTATACAGATTACACTACAACCTTAGCTGATGCAGGATGTGTAATCCAAAACAATTCCAAATTTACAAAACAGTTGTTGTTATAACCAATTATTACTTCTTATAACCATCTCTGTCAGTTTTTAGAATATGTGATCATAACATGGAAATAAGCAATACAACTACACAACTCTTTCGTATAACATTATTACCTTGAAGTATTGGTCAAATTAACCTGCAAAATCACAGCATGCCATCATCAGGCAGTGCAGCATTTCCTAAATAATTTTGATGTATGAATATTGCTTTCAATGAATATACATCAGAAAACATTAAAAAAAGCAACCAGATTAAAATGCCGCTTAAGTGCCATTAACATGTCATACAAGGAATTACTGAAACTAATATATTGCATCGGCAGCAATTCCAAAATCTCTCCCGTAGCTCTTTTCATTAAAACATTAAAATCTATTTGTTTGTTAAAACAGGCAAAATGCAAACAATCCTCCTAAATGTTAATTCCAAATTAACAAAAAGCAAAGTAATCATCATTCATTTATAATACATCGGAACAAGTCCCAACATACCTGAAATGCAATCCCTTCTCCCTCAGTGCACAGTACTGGTCAAATATCATGATCTTCATACTTTGAAACAGGGACTTTGTTTCATTTATAGTTAGTAATACAATAAATTGAAAAAACGTTACTAATGGTTTTATTTCAATTTATAACTCGTGTCCTGAACTTGTGAACTATCATGCCATTGAGAACATTTTTCACAAGACACAGCAATAAACAGAGCAAAGCAAAAGCAGTACTTGATAACCCTCTTTGTGTTGTCACCATGTAAGTGTGGTAGTCAGTTTCTGCTTCCACTGTCCCTAGGGGAAGCCCGCACTTCATTTTTCCCATTTATTCAGAGGCAATAAAAAGATCTGTCAAGCATTTTAAACTGATATTTATGGATTTCTTGCTTATGTTTCTGAAAATGCAACTGCCAATGAATGTTCCTAAGTGTCCCATTTTCAGGACCCAATTTATCGATACAAGTGTTGAGTTGGGAAATTGAACACTGTGCCAATCGTAAAATGAACATAAGAAAGAAAAGTAGGTTTTTAAACACTGTAAACCAAGCACTTTCAGGTGTGGATTAAAGATTCCTTGTGAAATCTCAAGGCCATTATTTGAAATCCTTTTCTCATTACCCCAGCCCTAGCCTCTTGTGTTTCAGAAAGATCTGCTTAAACTTTTGTCTATCCTAGGAATGTACATGTCAATCATCCTCTTTAATCCCTTTAAGGCTTTTCCCTAGCACCAACACATCACTCTATTCTCGTTAACATGAAGTGATTTGGTTACTGTGAAATGCCCTCGAGCTCAAGAAAACAGTCCTATGATTGAAATCAAATTTTTGATTCCCAAAGGAAAGTCTTATTTGTATGACTTCTAAATCACTAGTGATCTTTCCCTGAATTATCAAGAGCATGAAAATTACATTCCCTTACAAGTGTAAGCTATCATTTTTTAAAAACAAGAAAGCCCCTACTGCCAATTAAGTTAGCTGAGATTACCAAAGGCAACAAGAAGGAAGGACACCAATACACTGACAATTTTCAAAAGACAGGAATTGTGATAGCATCTTTGCCTTTGGCATGAGAAATTAAAGATGCAAATAATTTTACTTAAAAATACCATCACAATGAATAGGGATGGAACCAGACAGACATAGGTAATTCTACCTCAGCACATCCTCACCTTCTCAAGCTGCTATACAATGGTTAGAGACAAATTCTGACACATTTTACCAACAAGACAGACAGAGATAGGTAATTCTACCTCAGCACATCCTCGCCTTCTCAAGCTGCTATACAATGGTTAGAGACAAATTCTGACACATTTTACCAACAAGACAGACATAGGTAATTCTACCTCAGCACATCCTCGCCTTCTCAAGCTGCTATACAATGGTTAGAGACAAATTCTGACACATTTTACCAACAAGACAGACATAGGTAATTCTACCTCAGCACATCCTCACCTTCTCAAACTTCTATACAATGGTTAGGGACAAATTCTGACACATTTTACCAACAAGACAGACAGAGATAGGTAATTCTAACTCAGCACATCCTCACCTTCTCAAGCTGCTATACAATGGTTAGAGACAAATTCTGACACATTTTACCAACAAGACAGTCATAGGTAATTCTACCTCAGCACATTCTCCCCTTCTCAAACTTCTACACAATGGTTAGAGACAAATTCTGACACATTTTACCAACAAGACAGACATAGGTAATTCTACCTCAGCACATCCTCACCTTCTCAAGCTGCTATACAATGGTTAGAGACAAATTCTGACACATTTTACAAACAAGACAGACAGAGATAGGTAATTCTAACTCAGCACACACTCACCTTCTCAAACTTCTATACAATGGTTAGGGACAAATTCTGACACATTTTACCAACAAGACAGACAGAGATAGGTAATTCTAACTCAGCACATCCTCGCCTTCTCAAGCTGCTATACAATGGTTAGAGACAAATTCTGACACATTTTACCAACAAGACAGACATAGGTAATTCTACTCAGCACACACTTTCTCAAGCTGCTATACAATGGTTAGAGACAAATTCTGACACATTTTACCAACAAGACAGACATAGGTAATTCTACCTCAGCACACACTCACCTTCTCAAGCTGCTATACAATGGTTAGAGACAAATTCTGATACATTTTACCAACAAGACAGACATAGGTAATTCTAACTCAGCACATCCTCACCTTCTCAAACTTCTATACAATGGTTAGGGACAAATTCTGACACATTTTACCAACAAGACAGACAGAGATAGGTAATTCTAACTCAGCACATCCTCACCTTCTCAAGCTGCTATACAATGGTTAGGGACAAATTCTGACACATTTTACCAACAAGACAGACAGAGATAGGTAATTCTACCTCAGCACATCCTCACCTTCTCAAACTTCTATACAATGGTTAGGGACAAATTCTGACACATTTTACCAACAAGACAGACATAGGTAATACTAAAGCAACACATTCTCACCTTCCCAAACTTTTATTCCATGGTCAGAGACAAACTGGCACCAACAAGGCAGACAAACAGGATATATGTGACATAAAACATTTGTATTCCGAAAGGTCACTTTAATTACCAATCGTACAGTAAATCAAAAGTCACTTCTCACAAAAATATAATTTTCTGGGTTGTTTTGCTCAGTAAAGAGATAATTTTTAGTATAAGTGGATTATGTAGGACATTCAGAAATCAAGACACAAGGATAATTCATCTTCTCTTACTAAGTCAATAATTGTGATTAATCATAGTAATAAACTATTAACTTAACACAAGCTAATTGAAATATGACACTCTACATAACATAAAATCACCACTTGTTTTTACTTAAAAGATATTTTCTTAATCATGGCATTTACTTGTCCTGCAGTGGTTATTTGCATTTGATAGGTAAAGGAGGGGAGGAGTTGACACCTACCTATCCTCCAGTATGTATTTGTGTTTGACAAGTTGAATTGACACCTACCTATCCTCCAATATGTATTTGTGTTTGACAAGTTGAATTGACACCTACCTATCCTCCAGAATGTATTTGTGTTTGACAAGTTGAATTGACACCTACCTATCTTCCAGTATGTATTTGTGTTTGACAAGTTGAACTGACATCTACCTATCCTCCAGTATGTATTTGTGTTTGACAAGTTGAATTGACACCTACCTATCCTCCAGAATGTATTTGTGTTTGACAAGTTGAATTGACACCAACCTATCCTCCTGTATGTATTTGTGTTTGACAAGTTGAATTGACACCTACCTATCCTCCAGTATGTATTTGTGATTGATAAGTTGAATTGACATCTACCAATCCTCCAATATGTATTTGTGTTTGACAAGTTGAATTGACACCTACCTATCCTCCAGAATGTATTTGTGTTTGACAAGTTGAATTGACACCTACCTATCCTCCAGTATGTATTTGTGGTTGACAGGTTGGACTGACACCTACCTTTCCTACAGGGTGTATTTGTGGTTGACAAGTTGAATTGACACCTACCTATCCTCAAGTATGTATTTGTGTTTGACAAGTTGAACTGACACCTACCTATCCTCCAGTATGTATTTGTGTTTGACAAGTTGAACTGACACCTACCTATCCTCCAGTATGTATTTGTGGTTGACAGGTTGAATTGACACCTACCTATCCTCCAGTATGTATTTGTGGTTGACAGGTTGAACTGACACCTACCTTTCCTACAGGGTGTATTTGTGGTTGACAAGTTGAATTGACACCTACCTATCCTCAAGTATGTATTTGTGTTTGACAAGTTGAACTGACACCTACCTATCCTCCAGTATGTATTTGTGTTTGACAAGTTGAATTGACACCTACCTATCCTCCAGAATGTATTTGTGTTTGACAAGTTGAATTGACACCAACCTATCCTCCTGTATGTATTTGTGTTTGACAAGTTGAATTGACACCTACCTATCCTCCAATATGTTTCTATGTTTGACAAGTTGAACTGACACCTACCTATCCTCCATTGTGTATCTATGTTTGACAAGTTGAACTGACACCTACCTATCCTCCATTGTGTATCTATGTTTGACAAGTTGAATTGACACCTACCTATCCTCCAGTATGTATTTGTGGTTGACAGGTTGAACTGACACCTACCTTTCCTACAGGGTGTATTGTATTTGGAAGGTAAAAGAAGTCATGTCTTAAAGTCTGTATTTGTATTTGACAGGTATGGAAGGTATGTAGATGACACTTACCTATCAACAAGTATGTTTTTGTAGTAGACAGGCTGAATTGACACTTAACTATCCTCCAGTATATATTTGTGTTTGACAGGTAGGGAGGTGTAGATTTGACACTTATCTTTCCTACGATGTGTAAATGTGTTTGACAGGTAAGGGAGGAGTGAAGTTAAAACTTACCTATCCCCTGGTGTGTAATAGTGTTTGACAGGTAAGGGAGGAGTGAAGATGAAACTTACCTATCCCCTGGTGTGTAACAGTGTTTGTCAGGTAAGGGAGAGATGGATTTGATACTTACCTATCCCCTGGTGTGTAATAGTGTTTGTCAGGAAAGGGAGGGGTGAAGTTGAAACTTACCTATCCCCTGGTGTGTAATAGTGTTTGACAGGTAAAGGAGGGTCGGAGTTGAAACTTACCTATCCCCTGGTGTGTAATAGTGTTTGTCAGGTAAGGGAGAGATGGATTTGATACTTACCTATCCCCTGGTGTGTAATAGTGTTTGTCAGGAAAGGGAGGGGTGAAGTTGAAACTTACCTATCCCCTGGTGTGTAATAGTGTTTGTCAGGTAAGGGAGAGATGGATATGACACTTACCTATCCCCTGGTGTGTAACAGTGTTTGTCAGGTAAGGGAGGGGTGAAGTTGAAACTTACCTATCCCCTGATATGTAATAGTGTTTGACAGGTAAAGGAGGGTCGGAGTTAAAACTTACCTATCCCCTGGTGTGTAATAGTGTTTGACAGGTAAGGGAGAGATGGATTTGATACTTACCTATCCCCTGGTGTGTAATAGTGTTTGTCAGGAAAGGGAGGGGTGAAGTTGAAACTTACCTATCCCCTGGTGTGTAATAGTGTTTGTCAGGTAAGGGAGAGATGGATTTGACACTTACCTATCCCCTGGTGTGTAATAGTGTTTGACAGGTAAGGGAGGAGTGAAGATGAAACTTACCTATCCCCTGGTGTGTAACAGTGTTTGTCAGGTAAGGGAGAGATGGATTTGATACTTACCTATCCCCTGGTGTGTAATAGTGTTTGTCAGGAAAGGGAGGGGTGAAGTTGAAACTTACCTATCCCCTGGTGTGTAATAGTGTTTGACAGGTAAAGGAGGGTCGGAGTTGAAACTTACCTATCCCCTGGTGTGTAATAGTGTTTGTCAGGTAAGGGAGAGATGGATTTGATACTTACCTATCACCTGGTGTGTAATAGTGTTTGTCAGGAAAGGGAGGGGTGAAGTTGAAACTTACCTATCCCCTGGTGTGTAATAGTGTTTGTCAGGTAAGGGAGAGATGGATTTGACACTTACCTATCCCCTGGTGTGTAACAGTGTTTGTCAGGTAAGGGAGGGGTGAAGTTGAAACTTACCTATCCCCTGATATGTAATAGTGTTTGACAGGTAAAGGAGGGTCGGAGTTAAAACTTACCTATCCCCTGGTGTGTAATAGTGTTTGACAGGTAAGGGAGAGATGGATTTGATACTTACCTATCCCCTGGTGTGTAATAGTGTTTGTCAGGAAAGGGAGGGGTGAAGTTGAAACTTACCTATCCCCTGGTGTGTAATAGTGTTTGTCAGGTAAGGGAGAGATGGATTTGACACTTACCTATCCCCTGGTGTGTAACAGTGTTTGTCAGGTAAGGGAGAAATTGATTTGAAACTTACCTATCTCCTGGTGTGTAATAGTGTTTGTCAGGAAAGGGAGGGGTGAAGTTGAAACTTACCTATCCCCTGGTGTGTAATAGTGTTTGACAGGTAAGAGAGGGTTGGAGTTGAAACTTACCTATCCCCTGGTGTGTAATAGTGTTTGTCAGGTAAGGGAGAGATGGATTTGACACTTACCTATCCCCTGGTGTGTAACAGTGTTTGTCAGGTAAGGGAGAAATTGATTTGAAACTTACCTATCTCCTGGTGTGTAATAGTGTTTGACAGGTAAAGGAGGGTTGGAGTTGAAACTTACCTTTCCCCTGGTGTGTGATAGTGTTTGTCAGGTAAGGGAGATATGGATTTGATACTTACCTATCCCCTGGTGTGTAATAGTGTTTGTCAGGTTAGAGAGGGGTGGAGTTGACATTTACTCATCCTCATGTTTGTATTTGCATTTGACAGGTAGAGAAGAGTTGGAAATGACACTTACCCATCCTCCAGTGTGTATTTGTGTGTAAAGGCCAGGAGGTCTGCAGCACGTCCACTACCATCACAGACAACAACAGGAACAGGGGGAGAGTCAGTGACATACTCCAGCACAGACCGTATAGTATTGGCCCCTCCCTCCAGTACGACACATATCACAGGCACACCTCGTCCCTTGACACCACTTGCTGAAAATACATAAGATTTTGATAAAAGTTTACAGCCTGATCTTGGTGCTGCTATTCTCATCAGGACTGTGTACTCACAACTTATCTTATTCTATAGAAAACAATGCCTGCCCAATCATTCATCTCAAGGCATATCACTGACACACACAGTACATAAAAACTTTAAATGAATATGAAATCAGTTTTTTCAGCAGCGTTCAATATCTCAGTATGAATTTGCTGTCAAGAATGTCTAAGACACTTTGTTCTGCATTTCATCCTGGCACATTAATTTCATTTTTCATTGTCAATTCACAATGTACAGTTAAGAAAAGTTAGGAAACACTTTTGTTAGATGTCACACCACGTTTCCATTTGAATTCACAGGATTAAAGTCAATCAAGAAAATTAAGCCATCCAACCACTTAAATGTCATTATGACAATCACACAATGGTTCCAATGATCAACTGCCAAAAGCAGAATGGATGCAAATGTCTTTCTTCTATAGTTCACTTTAAAATATTCAGAAAATCAAAGTTCCATGAGATTGTATGAAGCATTAAGAAAATCTGACAAAATTGTGGCGGTAGAATTTTTCTGACACCAGGTGGAGCTTCCATGTCTAAACACCAGGTGGTGCTGCACATTTGACACCAGGTGGCATTGCAAGCCTATTGAAATCAACTGTTTCTCTCTCAACCCACTGTTCAGGAATCATTGGTTTCTGTGTTTTATTCAGAAATGACAAATACAGGAGCTAGACAGTTTACAGCATAAAAAATGGCCCTGAGAGGGATGACAAACACCTGATTCATGTACCTACACATCCCCACGCAGTGGTAATATGGATGGTGCCAATGCACCAGAGTATGATACACATGCAGTACACACATTCAATATCTACCACATCAACTACTGCTAGGAAGTCATCCAGACGCTGAATAGTACAAATGCATGATAATACTTACAGCAGCTTTCAATTATATAAAAAGTTATTGTGGATTTGACACATTGTAAATGTCAAACAATTTTCTTTCTGTGAAAACAGCCAAAACTTGTATCTCTCTTTAAGTATAAACAGCAACTCTTTGTATCTGTTCAAAATCAATCTAGTCATTCAACAACTTCTGAATTTCACATTTTAATACGCATATCAATTCATAAGACACTCATAAGATGTGTCATACACAGCAACAGAGACGAACACATGTGATCATCAAGTCCCTCCATAGCTACAGACAGGAAAAACATGTATGCACCAGTTAACACTCAATGACTAGACTTGTTCCACATACAGTGTACTGTACACACTCAAAGACTAGACCTGCCCCACATATTGTAGTGTACACACTCAAAGACTAGACCTATTCCACATATTGTAGTGTACACACTCAAAAACTAGACCTGTTCCACATATTGTAGTGTACACACTCAAAAACTAGACCTGTTCCACATGTACACAGTCAAAGACTAGACCTGTTCCACATGTACACACTCAAAGACTAGACCTGTCCCACATATTGTAGTGTACACACTCAAAGACTAGACCTGTCCCACATATTGTAGTGTACACACTCAAAGACTAGACCTGCCCCACATATTGTAGCGTACACACTCAAAGACTAGACCTATTCCACTTATTGTAGTGTACACACTCAAAGACTAGACCTGTCCCACATATTGTAGTGTACACACTCAAAGAGAGAGAGGGAAATCTAGACCTGTCCCACATATTGAGAGAGGGAAATAGTGTACACACTCAAAGACTAGACCTGTCCCACATATTGTAGTGTACACACTCAAAGACTAGACCTGTCCCACATATTGTAGTGTACACACTCAAAGACTAGACCTGTCCCACATATTGTAGTGTACACACTCAAAGACTAGACCTGTTCCTGTATCTTGCTATTATGTAATATTTTAAAGACAATGCCAACTTAACAGTTCTATAACCGCAATCATTATCTTATCGTTTTAAACTGGCTTCCCCAGAATGTTTATGTGCAAGCATACTGAGTATTGCTAAAGAAAAATCATCAACAGCCATGATGACCATGATACAAATTCCAAAGTTCAAAGTTCAAACTTGCCCTACATGATGGTCGTTTATTTTTTATCAGTATGTGAAATTTGGTGAAGTTTTATCAAAATCCCACAAGGAATGAAGCTGCTAGTCACTGACAAACTTTGGTGCTACATTTTGTATGGAGAGAGAGGGAAATCCCACAAGGAATGAAGCTGCTAGTCACTGACAAACTTTGGTGTTACATTTTGTATGGAGAGAGAGAGGGAAATCCCACAAGGAATGAAGCTGCTAGTCACTGACAAACTTTGGTGCTACATTTTGTATGTAGAGAGAGGGAAATCCCACAAGGAATGAAGCTGCTAGTCACTGACAAACCTTGGTGTTACATTTTGTATGGAGAGAGAGAGGGAAATCCCACAAGGAATGAAGCTGCTAGTCACTGACAAACTGTGGTGTTACATTTTGTATAGAGAGAGAGGGAAATCCCACAAGGAATGAATGAAGCTGCTAGTCACTGACAAACTTTGGTGTTACATTTTGTATGGAGAGAGAGGGAAATCCCACAAGGAATGAATGAAGCTGCTAGTCACTGACAAACTTTGGTGTTACATTTTGTATGGAGAGAGAGGGAAATCCCACAAGGAATGAATGAAGCTGCTAGTCACTGACAAACTTTGGTGCTACATTTTGTATGGAGAGAGAGGGAAACCCCACAAGGAATGAATGAAGCTGCTAGTCACTGACAAACTTTGGTGCTACATTTTGTATTGAGGGAGAGGGAAATCCCACAAGGAATGAATGAAGCTGCTAGTCACTGACAAACTTTGGTGTTACATTTTGTATGGAGAGAGAGGGAAATCCCACAAGGAATGAATGAAGCTGCTAGTCACTGACAAACTTTGGTGCTACATTTTGTATTGAGGGAGAGGGAAATCCCACAAGGAATGAATGAAGCTGCTAGTCACTGACAAACTTTGGTGCTACATTTTGTATGTAGAGAGAGGGAAATCCCACAAGGAATGAAGCTGCTAGTCACTGACAAACTTTGGTGTTACATTTTGTATAGAGAGAGAGGGAAATCCCACAAGGAATGAATGAAGCTGCTAGTCACTGACAAACTTTGGTGCTACATTTTGTATTGAGGGAGAGGGAAATCCCACAAGGAATGAATGAAGCTGCTAGTCACTGACAAACTTTGGTGCTACATTTTGTATGGAGAGAGAGGGAAATCCCACAAGGAATGAATGAAGCTGCTAGTCACTGACAAACTTTGGTGCTACATTTTGTATGGAGAGAGAGGGAAATCCCACAAGGAATGAAGCTGCTAGTCACTGACAAACTTTGGTGCTACATTTTGTATGGAGAGAGAGGGAAATCCCACAAGGAATGAATGAAGCTGCTAGTCACTGACAAACTTTGGTGCTACATTTTGTATGGAGAGAGAGGGAAATCCCACAAGGAATGAATGAAGCTGCTAGTCACTGACAAACTTTGGTGCTACATTTTGTATGGAGAGAGAGGGAAATCCCACAAGGAATGAAGCTGCTAGTCACTGACAAACTTTGGTGCTACATTTTGTATGGAGAGAGAGGGAAATCCCACAAGGAATGAAGCTGCTAGTCACTGACAAACTTTGGTGCTACATTTTGTATGGAGAGAGAGGGAAATCCCACAAGGAATGAAGCTGCTAGTCACTGACAAACTTTGGTGCTACATTTTGTATGGAGAGAGAGGGAAATCCCACAAGGAATGAAGCTGCTAGTCACTGACAAACTTTGGTGCTACATTTTGTATGGAGAGAGAGGGAAATCCCACAAGGAATGAATGAAGCTGCTAGTCACTGACAAACTTTGGTGTTTGTACATTTTGTACCCACAAGGAATGAATGAAGCTGCTAGTCACTGACAAACTTTGGTGCTACATTTTGTATGGAGAGAGAGGGAAATCCCACAAGGAATGAAGCTGCTAGTCACTGACAAACCTTGGTGTTACATTTTGTATGGAGAGAGAGGGAAATCCCACAAGGAATGAAGCTGCTTGTCACTGACAAACTTTGGTGTTACATTTTGTATGGAGAGAGAGGGAAATCCCACAAGGAATGAAGCTTCTAGTCACTGACAAACCTTGGTGTTACATTTTGTATGGAGAGAGAGGGAAATCCCACAAGGAATGAAGCTGCTTGTCACTGACAAACTTTGGTGCTACATTTTGTATGGAGAGAGAGGAAAACTATAGTTAACCAAATTTGACAAGATGTTCTTAAGATATGGCATTGTTTCTGAATGGGATGCATTATGACGGGAAGCAACACAATGAGATACAACGGATAGAAGTAGGTAACCCAATCCAATAAATTTACTCAAAAAATAGCTCAAACCTTGGCACAATTGCACTGGAATTCATTTTCAGAGTGGTGACTATCTATATCATTACAGAAACTTTCCAAATATCAAACAGCAGGGAAAGTGCTTTATCTGCCTTAAAATAAAATAAGGAATATCACATATTTCATCAAATCTGAAATGTGATATCTACCTTTTATGTAAAACTGGAAATTGGAAATTATCAATATAAGGAGACACACTTAAATAGTGCACATTTTAAAGACAACTTTACAAGATTTATTGCCACTATTAGTATAGCTGAACAACACATCTATTAGATGATGTAGGTGTATGCTGTCTTTTCAAATCTAGAAGATTTTGAATATATGACAGCTTATCAAATTTTCATAAATTACTGCTGGTATATTCACATAACAAATGGTAAAATAGTGCTGATTTGGTGTTAATTATTGTCAAAATTGGACAAAATGCTTATTTCTGCAATCTGCAATTTGATCAAGAACAGGCAAATGCCTAATAGTATTTTATTTCCAGTGGTGCATCTACATTACTTTGGATCAGAAATACAAATTTTGGTGATATCAGTTTACAGATGTGATCTGATCTGATGATGAAAACTTCTTCCATTGAAATATTGCCGGAGCAG